AATAATTTTGTATTTTTGTTATTTAAAAATTGGAAATTTCTTTTTAATAATTTTCAATCGTTTTCAGTTGAAAATTGTAATTGTACTATATTTCCGGGATAAAGATTAAAAACCAAGTGAAATCCTCGACTCGCAAATAATGATCGCGAATAAATAGATGGAGAAATTCTCAATGCCAATTGTATTTCATTTCGATCAATCCGAAAACCCGTAGACATCCGAGAAAATGTTAGGCTCGGAAAAAGAAGCGCGGTCACATGGTATTTTCCTCGATGGATTTAAAGGGTAATCGCGAATGCACGTGTATCGATCATCGGACACTCTATAAATCATGAAACATAATTACTGCCTCTCGTTAGTAGCGTGTACAAAGGTGTCTGGGAGCTAGAGGGTAGCCTTTTGAAATCTGTGCTATTTAGCTAAGTAGCCGGTGTTCGTGACAAGCGTGGAGTGTCGTTTCATTAAAGAACCATCCGTTCGTCAGGTCGCTACGGACAACAAATTGGCAGTGTGGTGCGTTTGCAAATTACAAATCACCTTACCTTACCTTTTACCAGGGTGTCTAACGCTTATAAAGCGGCCTCTTTGCGCCTTAGCGACTTGTGCCAATGGTTTCGGTGCAAAACTTTCAATTTTACCTTCACCAACATTGAATAACGTTGAAATCCGGCGATGAGGTGCGTGTGTAAATTGCAAATTTACCATTGTTGCCATTATCATTCCACCTATGTAACGTTTTTTTTTTAGCATTTTAGTTAGCCGTTTTCACCATTGGAGTTCTTTATTTAGCAAGAAAAGAGAAGAAGAAAGAGAAGAATCTGTTTACGGAATTCGTTGCGGTTAAACGCATTTCCGGTGATATCTAAACGTTATTTTCGCGGTAGTTTCAACGATTAGTTATCGAGGGAACGTTGTTAGACATTTTTTTGGCGAAAACGTCGATTCTGTACGTTGAACAGAGTCAAAATTCGCATGAAATTGGCGGCGAAGGGAATTTGCAAATTGCCACGTACTATCGCAGAAGCGCAGCAAACGAGCAGCTGCGGACCGGAACAAATTAGCTGAGCTTTTGTATTTAACTAGCCGTATCAAAGCGTTAAACGCTGTATCTCGCCGGATTTGTAAACAGTACAAACGGATTGCATCTGGAGATAATTTCTGGAGATTGAAGATAGAGCCGGAGCAGCCTATAGTTCAACCGGTAGTCGTCAATCATTGCCAGACTTTCGATAGAAAAGGCCTATTCGTAAATGGAAGTTCTCCCGACAGATGAGCAGATCTTGTGTTAACCATTGACCGGCTATTATTTCACAAGCCCTTTCTTTTTCCCAGCCTCTATACTTATCGATCTCTCATTATGCATTTGTGCACTTTAAAGAGTATCCTTATCGTCCATCTCTATCAGACAACGGTTACGAACATCGGCAATCTCAACCGAGAACTTCTAACTCGATCGTTGATAAATTGGAAAATTTTTAAACATCAGAAAATTTCTATTATAAAAAATTGGCAAATCGGGAAATTTCTATTAGAAAAAATGAGCGCTAATTCCTATTTTAAACCGCTGATACTGAAATTCCGAACAAATGTCTTTCCGTTTAATAACGTACTATTCTCAGATTTCCCGCGTATATCACACGGTTCCGCGAAGTATCTCCATCATCTATTAAATTCACCCGAAGACGAGTCATTGTTTCACTCTCACGCTCGTTAGATCACTTCGCGACGAGTGTGTTGTTACACGGGCCCGAGAAAGATCTCACGAGAAACAACTCATAGTTGTATGCACATACCCGGTAGCCGCGTGTAACTTAATTTATACCCTCAGAAACAATGATGCACCGATAGTTGGGTGTTGTGCAGGGTTATCTCGATGACTCGCCACCCGATGATAGTCTGTTCGAATGGTTAACGTCACGCTCGAACAGGCCGCGTGGCTGTTGCCGGCGAACATAATAGCGTTACCGTCGCGTCGTGGCATTGAAAGTTATGAATGAAATGTAGTGCAACGACATTGGCGGAGCGGAGTGCCAAGATCAATGAAACTCCACGCGACGAACCACGACCACCAACCGATACACATATGTACCGACCGGCCTATTATATGACGTCGGTGTAATCATCATTCGCATGGGTTTGCGTGCGCAACGCTCCGTGCATTTTAAATACACACCGTCGTCGAACCGCGGACTTGTCATCGATGCAGAGTTTAACGAACCTGAAACCGCGTTGCGTTTCATTCGACATTTTCACATAAAAGCGAGTCAATTCTCACAGAATACCTATCGTCGTTATCCTGTATTTCTGGAATGCACCGTTTCCGTGCGAAGCTATTGAAATTTGTAGGTTAATTTAATTGGGCTATTAGTAACAGGAATTTCACTTTGTACCGATAGTTTGAAATACGCTGTGTAACCAGGTTCAATTTGTTGGATTGATAAATTACGCGGTATGAGAAAGAGAAAGCATGAAATTATGTAGATTAGTGTAACGAAAAATATGGAGCAATCGTTACTGTGCTAATTAAGAAATTAAATGTGAGACTGTTTTATCGATACATAAGTATGAAATGTTTCTCGATTTTTTCAAAATTTCTCTTTCTCGTTTAACCCTTTCATCACTAGTGGAACGTAAACACTTTAATCAAATTTCATCTGAATTTTGTGTCTACCAGACACGCGACGATCGATAGATAAATAGGAAATTCTGGAAAAAAATTAATCGAGTCACTAAAGGGTTAAGGAATAATCTAGGTTTCAATATTACCGCGAAACACGCTGCACGAGAATTATTACCGGGGCCCGATTGTTGCTTTTGCGATTTTCTATTTGCAGTCGAATCCGACGTATGCCTCTGTTTCGCAATTCGTTGGTATTTCGTCGCGACGTGTCGTGAATCTCGCTTTCATCCTGGTGAGCGTGCAGGTGTAAAACGCCTATCATCGCTATATTTACAGCGATGGCTACTGTCGGAGGATGATCGTACGCGCGACGGATACGTTCTGTTGTCGAATAAATCGATGATCGATGCATCTTTAATGGTGCAGCGCGTCATCGTACGTTATACAATTGAATTTCCCCCGTTTGCAAACGAAGAATGGAGATTTGTCTCGAGCAGTTTTTAACGACGAACGTCATTTCAATTTACGGAGGAAATGTCATCTGTGATCGATTAACTTTAACGAGGCTAGCGTGATACGTACGGACAAAGTTGTGCAAATCACCTGTTGCTTCCGTAGTTTAACTTTGGAATTTTTACCTATTTCAAGTTAGTCGGTGATGTGAAATTTACATTGTTCGAATGTTTGTTTTTTTTTTTTTTTTTGTTACGTGTCTCGCATGAAATTATTCGAAATGCGGATAATTAGAGATTGTCGTGAAATTGTTCTCGTCAGAAGCATGTTTATTTTTCGTGTATGCGAAACGAGAGTAACGTTATAACATTTGGAATTGCATCGAGTTCGTATAAATCGTTCCCGTGTTCTATTTAACCCGGTATGAATGAAGAGAGTTTTAATTAGAAGTCTAATTAATACGCGGAGCAAATTGTGCAGGGAATTCGTTCGATTGCACGGTTACAAATCCGTTTTATAACTTTTAATTCTGGTTTCGTGCACCGAATTCAAAATTTCAGGAGCTCGGTAGAGGAAAAATGAATCCTTTTCGTCAACTACCAATCGAAATCTCTCGAGTTGTGAAACAGTTCAAATGTCACTTCACCGTCTATCATTTTTATTCGATCGATAAATTTATTTCGTCGAACGGAAAAAGTTTTTCTAATTTTCTACCGTCAAAATTCAATTTATTCGATAATTTATCTTTATCAAATATCAATCTTCCCTCCCTAAAAAAAAAGAACACTCTTCCTATCAGCAATAAAAATATTCAACTTCATTCCTATGCGTTTCATTAACGATTCAATTAATCACTGCTCACTAATTAATTCACGTTCTACTCAAGCTTTATCTCGATCTTTAATTCACGACGTCTCCGTCAAATGTCAATCCCCATTACATCTACCTCGATCATTCTTTTACCTCTATTTAAAAAAAAAAAAAAGCAATTACTCTACCGTTACTTCTTTCCTACAAATTCCATTAATAATTGATAAATCACTACTCACTAATTAATCAAACAAATTTCATTCTCGTTCTACTCGATCATTGATCCACGACATCTCCGTCAAATGTCAATCCCCATTACATCTACCTCGATCATTCTTTGACCTCTATTTAAAAAAAATATACAATTACTCTACAGTTACTTCTCTCCTACAAATTCAATCGATACTTGATAAATCACTGCTCACTAATCAGTCAAACAAATTTCATTCATGACATCTCCGTCGAATGTCAATCTCCATAGATCCTACCTCTACTCTTAGCAAAAAGAAGAAATCTACGAAAAAATCAGCTCGGTTCACAGCAACCTAACGAAACTATCATAGAACCAACTCACTAACCGTTCGGTGAAGAAAAAAAAAAAAAGAAATGAGATGTGTCGCACTCGGGTTATAATCCTGCGTGTATATGGGGCACGTACCAGGCTGAAGAAAGCGGCGCGCGCACGGCCGAGCATCCTGGCACCGGTCGCTTCCGTTAGCAAGGCATCGTCCCGACGATCTCAGTCTCGAACAGATGATGATCTCTTCGGATTGTACACGCAGTGTGCCGTTCGAACTGAAAGACTGAAGACGTAGCCGGCAGAAGAAGGCTTATATACAGGGTGGGGGTCGGCAACCAGACCAACCGACCAACTTGGTGCCCATCCTCCTTGGTGTCTTCTCTTTTCCCCATTCTTCTCCGTTTCGACTCTTCAGGGATAATTCTTCGCGTGCCTCCCCACCCGGCACCGTGTCGTGATCCTTGTTCGTCTTAGACCCTGAGGAGAGGACCCTTCCGTTTCTCTGCGATCCACAGACGTACTTATTTACTTCAGCCGTGGCACCGATGGCTTTATGGCTTCGTTATGGTTAAATAGGGGGATTCAACGGTCGGTAGTTTCGGTAGTGTTCTTTTTCGGGTATTCCCTTGTTGCTTCTGTTTCGGTCGGGTACAAAGAAGAGGAGCTTCACGGTTGTTGAAGAAGGTATACAGAAGGAAGGTGTGGGTTAGATGGATGTTTGATGAGATTTCTGAACAATGTATATCGTTATTTTGCCCTTTTTCGAGGATTCTCTCCTTTTGGGTAAAGAACGATGCTACGTGGGTAGTAATGCGAGTTTTTTTCAGGATTTTATCTCGGGAGACGAGTTATCTTCTCTTCTTGTAATGGATATTACACGAAGAGTATCGTTATTGTTTCTTCTTTTTTTTTTTTGTTGTGCAGTATATTCGTTGCTACCTGAAAGTGTAGTACTTTTTTTAAAAAGTAGAATGAATGTGTTCGCGATAAAAATCGATTACGGTAAAAAGGAACACCCGGAACCATTCAGGATTCCTCAGGCTGGCTCGAAGAAATTCGCAATTCGATCCGTAACCTGGCCTTTCCAGTCGCTGCAAGGACTAAACAGGTATTTTGCAGGTGAGACGAGACGTAACGATGAATCAGCTCGTTAAAGATTCCTGTGAAATTCACTGTGTCAGATTCAGTAGGTTTCGTTGGTAGGCAATTGGGGAAGGCCGTGGAAGACACGCGTTATCGGCCTTCGCTCGACTAGATCGCGTAAACAGGAACGCATTTTTCCACGAGAAGAAGACTTATACGTTCCGCACCGGAGGCATTTCTACCGCACAGGTGCTCTAGAGAAGGTGTCTCACGCTTCGTGCTAATTTCGTCCAGGGGACGATCGTGAGAAGTGTACGACGAATAAGGGAAAAAGGTACAAGTACGCGTATCGGAACAAAGAGGCGAACAATGGTGTCGGTTGAAACGTCAATTAGAGAACGATTAAGATGTTTGCTATAGTTTCTCGATGTTGCCCGACCTTCGAAGGAACAAGGAAATTCTCAGAATGGCCGTGAATTTCTGACAGTGTCCTTTCAATTATTAATTAACGATCGATTAATTCCTCGATGTTGTTTCTGCTTCTGGTGTTCAGGGAAATGGACGATGTACCGAGCACCTTTTTTGGTTGCACAGCGGTGAGGATAAGTTTTGTAAGGACAAGAGAACAGTTTCGAGACCTTGGCTAAATTAATGACGACGTTCTTCGAAATTGGGATTAATATATTTCGCTGTATTGCTCCTGAATAGACAGTTGGCAGTGATTCGATAGTTTTATAAACAAGGTCTAACTTAGTTCCTCAATTAAGCAGCATTTGTATAATACAGGATTTACGTGTAATAGCTTTGTGCATGTTATTTGAAGAATGTCTAGCTTTAATGACCAAATAATGTAATATGAAAATGTTATAGATACTAATACTAAAAAATTTACTTATGAGTATCAACCTGTTATAAATAATTCTCTTTCAATTACTAAATTGATAAAAGTCTAGCTTTCGTATGAAAATAATGCACCATCAAAATATTAAAAATATTAAAAAATTCGTTTACTCGTTTACCTATTCGTTTACGAGTGTTACAAATAATCGTCGAAACAATACAAATGACTATTTCACATTACAATAATTAGCTTCGAGTTGCAATCAGAAGACAATCAGATATGCTGTTTCATACTCTACTATTATCTATTACACTTTAATGTACCAACACACCAAATCTACATAATTCTATTCAACCATCGAATAACCGCAGCCCATTGTAAGATTATGCTAACACCAGATAGTTTCACGGTATCAAGGCAGCTCGCGTTAAAAGTGGGACAGACAGGAAGCTTTAGGGTTTGCGCCAGGTATGCCCACACACGTGTAAAGCCTGACGGACTATGATCTCCGTAACGTTTCGCCTAAATAATGAGTTTAACAAGATATCGTCGAAGATGATAGTCGATCACTGTTGAGGCTACATCCAGAACGGTACAGGCATTCAGTGCGAACGTTTTTATGCTGGAACCAAGCATAATAATACCACGAGCCAACAAGCCGGTTCGTTGATGTAACACGCGTGTGTGTGTCTTGCATAACTCGAATTTAAGGCGTAAACCTTGACTTTAATACTGGTTGCACTTTCTTCGTGGCCGTTCACGCTTTCCTCGCGAACACTAACGGCCGCTATCGATTATTGGATTCCGATTCACACGGTATGTTCTTGCCGAAGGAGAGAATCTGTAAACTGGATCTGTAACTATTTGGCAAGAGGGGATGGCGAAGATTGATAGGGGGAAATTGGTTAAACGCCGATATTAAAGCACCCGTAGTTCTCTTCAGAAGCACATCTGTGCGTAATTTGGCGCATTACAGGGTTTAAATGGATACTGCTACACGATGGTAGCAGTCAGGACCTACAGGATGGTAGGATGTCTATTGAGAAATTTACTTTTGTACAAATTTTAATTATTCGAAAGTAAAGCGATTTTTCACGAGTGACGATACTCTAAGGACAACGAGACACAGGATTTTCTTATTTAAAGGAAGAGGATTGGAAACAGCGTTACTTTTTGCTCGCATTATTTCCGTGGAAAGTACCATTGGAACTCTACACGACATTTCTCTCCGAAGCTTTTTACGTTCAATCTGGAGATATATCTCCTGGAGTTTATCGTGTGGGAAAATTTATACGACACATTAAGCTTCAGCTGAAGTGGTAAATACCGTAAGTGATATGTTTCAAGTGAAACGTAGAGATCTGTTTAACATAGAAGAACTCGAGGTTGAAAATTGACACTGAAAAATTGAGATTACTCGTATTTGGTACCGATCCAGCTGTTGGTAACCTTTTCAACTTGATCGCTATTCGCCGCCGTTAGAATTTCTCTCGGTCCACGCCTGCTTTATTCGACAGCCGCGAAATTAGATATTTGGTTACTCCGGTCGGAGAATTTCTCCGGACATTCTTTGGAAAGTTTTAAATAGAATCAACCGTGGTTCGTGAAACTTTTCGACGCCAGTGTTACGGCAGTATAATTTAGGAAAAGTATCGAATAATTTATCGACTAACGATAAATCGCTGCTTGGCATTAAAAATGGTGTAATTAAAAAGATTTCAGTTTCGACATTTTTTTTTGGAAAAAATAATCTTCATCGGTAAGATGGTACATTTTTTACTTGGTGAATGCGACGATAAATGGTAAATCATTTTTGCAATATTTGTTTATAAAATTTTTAATTGTTTCATTGCTAGGTGTAGAACACTATGCATTGTCATGTTTGTTTTTATACTGTACTGTATATTTGCATTTCTTTCATACTTTTCTACAGTGCTAAAATCACAGAGTAGTTGTACCACTTCACTATATAATAGAGTGTCACGTGACTCCACCTTTCTCATACTTTTCTAAAATCAACTCGCACAATGCTCTATATAATAACTTTACTATTGATTATGTAACGTTATGATACACTCTCACGTGTCACTATTTCTTCCATACGTTCCTGCAGTACTAAAATCACACGATACTCGACACAACTTTACCATCGATACAAAAACTTCTCCCACAATAATTCATGCAAACAGAATTATAGTACACTATCATGTATCACGATTTCTATCATTTTCCCCTACAATATGAAAAATTTACAATCTTAAAACTTACTCACACAACTCTACACAAGGATCTACAAAAGCAGCTCCCACAATGATCCACAGAACAACTTCATCGTGGATCGAACAAAATGCTCTTCCACCGTACTATCCTCCGATACCTCAAATTTTCAGAATTGAAACCTACTCACACAAATCTCCATAAAAAAGTACAAAACCCACAGTTCCAAATTCCACCATGGATCACTCGAGCACCATAACACGCATCATCACATGCCCTTATCCATCTCCAAAGCCTAGATCCCCGAAATGAACTCACTCGCGAAATATTCGTGAAGAAAAGAAGAACGTCAGCGGAGCACGAGTGACCAAAAAGCGTAGCCAAATTTTTCTCGTTGGCCTACATCCAACAGTCGCATTACCATTCGACCTTACGTCGGCGGTGAAGGATCGAGCTGGATCCACCATTGATCGCGACAGAGACAACGAGATAGGAGGTAGCCACGCGACATTGAAGGAGGTTCTCCTCCAAAAAGAAAAAAGTTTCTACTACTTGTTGCCATTCTGCTGCCGATGATCGCCGCGTTTCGCATACCGGATGTCTCGCGAGCCCCAGTTGGAACGATACGAATTTTTAGGCGGTCGACGACGGCTCGGTCTCTCCTCGCTGTTACAGATTTCCATCTAGCTCGTCCTCGATCGGACAGCCATCACGTACACACGCCGAAAAAGCTCTCCCGACCGTTCTAATTCCCTCCTGGTGATTTCGCTGGAACGAGATTATCGGAAATCCTGTCCGGAATACGATTATCGACACGACGAAGCAAACGACGCCGAGGGTGGTTTTGGCCGGTTTGCTGCGTTTCCAACCTGGAAATAAAAGGGACGGTGGAAATGAGAATTTCGAGAGAAGGTCACGTTGCCGGAAGGGTATAAACGGGATTCGTAACCCTTTTGGGGTAGGAGAGAGAGAGAGAAAAAAAGAGGGAAAATGTGTTTTGACTTGGGAAAAGCTGCGAAAAGGTTTAGGGGAAAGTCTTGACTGCTTCTTAAGTTAATTCGAAATTTATTCCTTTTGCGGGATCCTAGACTAGACGAATTTGCATATCTTCTACTT